TTTTTTTTTTTTTTTTTTTTGGTACTGGGGTTCAAACTCTAGTCCTTGTGCTTGCAAGGAAGGCAGCAGAACCACTGAGCTAAATCCCAGGCCCTCATGTTACCAAGCTTTTTCAGCTGGTAAAAGAGAATTTTAAGGTGCATTTTGCTTCATTACACTTAAAGTTTGTTAAACTGATTAGATATTTCCAAACATCAGTGTTTATACTTGTATTTCATTAGAAGTTAAAGCATCACTTGGCCCAGTGCCCAGCAAATAGCGAATATTCACAATTGGGACCTGTAACACTGTTCTGACATCGTACTACTTCATGTCTTCAAGTTTCCTTATAATTTTAGGTACTTGATTATATAGAATAATATTTGTAGGGTGGTTAGAACAGAACGGCTTGTTTAGAACTCACCTTTATATACCACATCGCTGATTTTTTTCTCATGTGATAGTTGTTTTCAGTTATTAGTACCTGTGTATAGTACATAATGTTTACACTGTTTGTAAGAAGTTGATGCATGTATAAAACACATCTTCATCCCTTTTCTCATCCTCTTTTCCTTTGTTTCCTCCTCCTCCATCCATCACTTATCCCCTTCCCTTCTTTCTGTTTCCAGTACACAATGTCTGCATACTTTATGTGGAGTCAGTGCATGTACATAACACACCCAGTTCCTTTTTTATTCCTTATCCCTTCCGTTCCATGACCCACTTCCCCTCTGTCTTTTATTTTGGTGTTTATTTTTTCCCTGGGTTTCTCATATGAGAGAAACAGTGTGATGTTTAAGCTTGTGTGTCCTCTTTGCACACCTTTAATTCTTGGAATGTGTAGTGAAGAGCTTTGGCCTACTGACATTATAGTGCCATGAACTTTTCTGTTTGTGTCAGTGAGCTAATGTCTGCTGTATCCCACAGATCCACGTTGGAGCGAAAACCTTCCAGGCCCCTTTTAGGGATCTCATGAGTTCGTAGGAATTCTAGAAACTGTTGTCCTTCATTTCATTTCATCCTAGATACTTTTATTATAATGTGTGTCTGTAAGAAAAGCTTTCATGCCACTGGAAAATAGAAGAGTTAGGGCCATAAAGGAGAGTGAGGCATCAAACCCTAAGCAAATTCTGTAGAGGAGAACAGTCAGAAAAACGGGTCGGATTATAACCTCAGAAAGAAAAGGAGAAAACCCTCTACTTGGCCGCTGAGCAGGAAGCACCAGCCTTTACTCTTGTAAAAAAGTGAAAAAGGTGCCATTGCTCCCTATGCTGACCTCCAGGGAGGCTCCATTTCCTCCTGGACCGTCTTCCCTGTGCAGAGCTCTCTTCCCAGTACATCGTTTCTTCTCTGATTTTTGTTTTCATTCTTTCTTGTGCATTTAAAATATCTATAGAGGCTATAATTACAAATTAATGAGGTCATGTGCCCCATAAGCTGTTTTTTCACAAATGCCTTCCCTTCTTTAAGTGTCGTTTCATAACTTAAAATGTGTTGGAAAAACTTGTATTAAACCACAAATGCCTATGTGCTTATCTTAGTTCAGTGGTAAGGTTGACCAGGTTGTGCACTGTAAAACTCCAGGACACTCCACTCATGAAAACTATGAGGAACTTGAAGCCTAGTGGAATTTCATGGTACCTAGGGAATACTGGCAATTATGCAGTTTTAAAAATTAAATAGTATTTTGAGGCCTTTAACACCAAATGGCAGGGTGCGCTTGAATCCAGCTGGCTCTGTGTCACAGTGTAGTCTTCTGGAAGCATGGGCTCCGTCCTTCCCCTGGCTTCTGATTGTTTTCAGGACTACAACTTCTTCATTCTCTGGTTTGGTGAATTAGCCTTCTTTCTGTTTGCAATCCCCTGCCAGTGGTAGAGGGTGGGCTGAATATTCCAGTCTTGTAAGAAGCAGCCTTTATGGCTCTAATTTGTTGAACGGTGTGCAGGAGTGGAGGCAGCTCTGTGTCCTCTCTCTTGCTCTCAGGAGTGGGCCACTCCTTCCCATTCCACAGCAGCTCAGGAGCGACAGGAGGAGCTGACGGACGGTGGGTGTCAGCTCCCCTGCTCAATGGCTGAAGCTACGAATAGGAAACGGCAACTCTCTCGTGAGTTTATGAGCATTTAGGGTCGGGGTTCCACACACCTGTTTGTAAGCTAAACTGCACTGACAGCAGATACAGCACTTATGGTTCATTCACAGTTCTTCCAGTCTTTCTGTGGTTTGCCGGATAGGGAGCATACTTTTACTGTAAGCAATACTGTCTTGAAATAGCTAAAATTCTAGTGTTATTCATAAATTCCAAGGAAACAGCTGAGAAAAGGTGAGCCCAGGATTACGGGGTTACCTTGTCTAGTTTTCAGCTATATAGCAGATAGGAAAACCTTTCTGCTTTTATTTTTCCAAAACATAAATACCTTCTTTCCTTTATCTCTTCTTTTTATTTCCTTATGGATTGAAATTTCTAAGGTTTAAAATATATATGTATTTTAATTGACATGTAATAATTGTATTTATGTCAATTTAGATTTCCGGTGGCAGTAACTATATATGTATACCTTCAATTAACTGTGTTTAATGAAACATTCCTCAAAGTAGTTGGTGAAAATCTACTAAATCTATAGATTTTACACTATATAATTCCAATTAAAAATTGTTGTTACAGGGGTGTATGTTGCTGTGAGTTTAGCTCAGTGGTAAAGCGTGTGGCCTGCATGCAGGTGGCTCTGGATTTGATCTTCAGCACCATTATAAGTAAATAATATTTTTCCCCCGGAAAAGCAAAATGCAGTGTTACAGGGATAAAAAAGTCACATTCTCATGTGTTACAGAAAAAAAAAATGTTGTGAGTTTTCTATGGAGTGTATTTATGTGTGGTGAGTAGAAACAAAGCCAGTATATTTATGTAAAAGTATGAAGGTGGAATGCATTTTCAAATACTTCTGTTAATAAATATACATATGAGGACAATATATGATTCTAAAGAGATTTTTAAAATTTAATTTTGCATTAGAATGTGTTTTTGCTAATGTTCATTTTATATGTGCATTTACCTAAAAATTGTTTCTTTTAAGCCTGTTGTGATTTAGGCCTTTTATGCTTCATAAGAGACACTCTCTTGTGGGATCTCAATAATTTGGAGAATTGAAGGAACATCACCACGAGGTCCTTAAAAATTAAATAAAAATAATGTTTAAAAATACTCACTTCAGTATTTTCAAAAAAACCACTATAATACTGCTTAACAAGAATTTATATCAAGCTCTCCCAATTTACTTTACAAGTAAATAATTATTAGCAATGCCAATTATTTATTGTTCTAAAAAAACTTAATTAGGTAATGTCTACCCTTAAATTTCATTTATAGTTCTTATTATATATGCTGAAATGTGTTGTCCAGTTATAAATCTGAAGTTCAATTAATAAAATCATATTCATACATTTTACTTATGTAAGCTGAATTAGAATGAGTATGTTTTTCAATATTATATTCTCAGTATTATATCTTGGGCTGGGAAGTTAGCTCAGTGGTTCTGCCACCTCCTTCACAAGTGCAAGGACCTGAGTTCTATCCCTGGTACCAAAAAAAAAAAAAGTCCTCAGTATTATATCTTATGTAGGATTCATTGACCTTTTATATATATAAAAGATATATATATATATATCTGCAACACAACTAGTAATTAATATAAATTAATAAACATAATTAGAATATCATAACTGTACTTTGAGCCTTTTTCAGGTGAAATTTGAAGGTAAAGATATCCTCTTGTCTTTTTTTTTTTTTTTTTCATTTTGCAGGTGCATTTTCTTGATTTTGAACTAGGACCTCTCAGTCAGAAAATGGAAAGCCTGATGTGGATTAGAAAATTTGCAATAGAAGTGAAAAAAAGAAATATTTTATTATGTGGCCTTCTAGTGAATTACTCACAGGTAGGTAAGATATTGGAACGTATATTCTCTGTATTATAATTTTCAGTGTAAGAAACTGATTTTGTTTAAACAAAGGATATTAATGATGAGGAAAATTACTCATCTGTTCATGTGCTGTAATAAGTACAACCTGTTGACTCTCAGAAAAGTAAAACAAACATTTTAGGAAAAAGATAAAATTAGCAAATATGTCATACCAGGTAGCCCATCTAGAATTGCCAGATTTAGTAAATAAAATTCCTAATGCCATTGAAAATTGAAATTCAGATAAACAATAGTTCTTTGTTTCTAAATTTGGAATTAAAAATTTAAATGTAACATAACTCATATTTAACAGGCCTACAACTAAAAACCCATGATACTCTAAATTGCTTACATTTGTTAGGTTTAAAATACTAGCATTCCAATCTTCTCTTCTAACATGTTACTTAAGTACTTGAAACCAATGCCCGAAGTTCAGAATATGAAGGATTATAGGACTAAATTTCACTGTTAATCTATTTAATAGCAGCAAGTTAATTAACTTGAAGACAAAATGAACTAGCATTATAGATTCTTTGTGTAGAGAAATACTATTGAAAACTATGAATTTGGAGAATCTAGTAGATATCTTTCATCATACTTGTGACTACTTTATAGTCTTTTTGAGTGTGCCACACAGGAGGCCTAGTGAGTTGCTCAGTTACTTTTTTTTAGAGGCCTGGTTTAAAGGTGATTTAGTACTGACTATCCAAGGCATAATAGATATTTAAAATTATATATGAGTTATGAATAACTGATTCTTTATGAAATTATTGAAGGTACCTTTTTAGCCCATAGCTTACATTTTTTAAAAACATGAATTTTAATTAGATGTAAGGACTGTCTTTTAGCTAGTTCTATGGTTTTTAACTTTGTGATCATTTCCTTTGCCTCTAAAACATGGAAGAATGACATCAGTTTAGTCATTGAGAAGAGGACAAATTTTAGCATACTTAGGATAATGGAATGTTACTGTAGTAGGGGCTCTTGAAGTTAGGATAATCAAGGGCCAAGGACAGATAACTGGCAGGGAAATGATATGATCTCAGGCTTATATCCTTGATTAGGAATATTTCATCTTCAATAAGTTATTTTTTTATTATGCTGCATGTAATATGATGGGGGAAAATAAATTAGTTCTCTTTGTTAAGCAAAGGATTTGTGCTTGCATACTACAAATGCCTTATTGTGCAGATGTGAAATAAAATTTATTGGCCAGGCATGGTGGTGCATTCTTCTAATCTCAGCAGTCTTTGAGGCTGAGGCAGAAGGATCACCAGTTCAAATCTAGTCTAGGAAACTTAGTGAGAACCTATCTCAAAATTTAAAAAACATTTTTTTAAAGGTTTGCTGTATGTAGCTTAGTGTGAGTGCTCTGTATTTAATCCTTAGTACTGTAATGTTTATTAATTGATTGAAGCAAATATCAAAAGAAGATAAATGGAAAAAGCATATATAATCTCTAAAACTGTCATGATTCCACAACTTAGGCCAGGCATCTGCATATAGCTGACTTTGATGTAGAAAATAGGGTTGCTAGGTAAAATATTGAATGCCTAATTAAATTTGAATTTCAGGAAAACCACGAGTAACTTTCAGTATTAATATGTCTAAATATTACATGGAACAAGAATAGCCAGATTATAAGAGTATTCCCATACTTGGCATGCTCTACATATTTATGGGGTACGGGACATATTTATGTGCTCTATAGCCATCAGAACTCCCAGATTGTAGAAGTGAGGCTGTTGGAAAGGAGAGGCCTTTGGAGCCTATTTCTTGATATCAGACTGTTGGTATTCTGAGTGGAGACCAGCTCTCTTTTGAGATACCAAGAGTAGAGAGGAAACAAGCCCATAAAGCCTCTCTCTAACATTAAGAGGCAAAGATAGCTACATAAAGTGTGAGAGAAATTCAAGCATGGCTGAGCCAAGTGTGCCGTATACACGTCTCCTAGCATGCTAGGGGATACTCAGGAGTTTGAGCATGCTCATTCTCCTGCGTTGAGATTTTAGAGCCGGCTAAAGGACATCCTGTTCCTCCTATTTTCTTCCTCCATTGCTTGCCTAAAAGATCACCTTATATAGTAATATGAGAGTATCAACCAATCTTGTTATGCCCTGCATACAGTGTCCTCCCCTTGCTCCATGATTATATAAGCGATTGCTCTGCCTATTAAAAATGGAAGTGTTCCAGAATCCTCCCCAGAGTCTGCTTGGTGATTCCATGCCTCACCCTCCCGATCTGAGCTTCAGAACCCGAGTAATTGTACAACAACAAACAGACAAACAACAGCACATAAAGTAGAACTTCTATTCACTGTACAACAAAGACCCACAAATTCAATGGTGTTGGCTTTCACTTTCCATGGCGGTGTGAAATAGAACTTGTAGTTTTCATACATTGGACTTTGAAATCTAATCCTAAATCTAATCCTTTTCTATGGTTGCTCTTAGGATGTTTTCCCAGGTCATTATTGTATATCTCTTTAGTTTCTGATCACAGAAACCTTTATTTTTAACAAATTTTTTGATATATATCATCAAGTGCTGCTACTTTAGGTAGATTTTCAGTGTTTTTTATAGCTCCATTTTGGAAGAGAGTATGTATTGAATTGCCCTCAAAGTGTGTGTTGTACACATGGTTCTTTGGATTAAGGAAGATCTGCCTTTTTTTGTACATGATATTTCTAATAATATAGATAGTCTTTTTCTGGCTGTACTTTTTTGGCTGATTTATGTGATGTTTATAATTAAATAAAATTATTTAAGCTTTTAAAAACCTTCAAAACATGCCACTCTTCATTAGTGTTTATGTAGGCTTCTTTTATACACATTTAAAACTTTATAGGGCCGGGGATTTAGCTCAGTGGTTCGGTGGCCTGCTTCGCAAGCAAGGACCTGAGTTTGATCCCCAGTACCAAAAAAAAAAAAAAAAAAAAAACAACTTTATGTGTTTGGTGAATTTAAACACATTAGTATTATTCTATTATTTCAATCTTAATATTTGTGATTCATGATATAATACAGGTATAACTGCTTGTTTCATATTGCTTATGAATTTATTGTCTATATTTTATGTATACTTTTAAACAATAACTGATGTGGAAAAGAACAAGGGTTGATCCCTAGTCTAATATCTATATATTTCCTACAATGTTGTAAATGATCAATCATTGATCATTCTTTAATAATTGATCTAAAGGTAGCTTTCCTTAATTTTTCTATATTTTCTTTAATTATATTGTAAGATACTATTTCAAGTACTTCATTGAATTCCAGATATGCCCCTAAGAATACATTTCCAGGTCCTAGAGGCTATTTGCTAAATTATGAAATATATTTGATTTCTTAGCTAGGTTCATACAAGCAAAGCATTTACTAATTTCTTCTTAAATTAATTTAAAAATACTTGTTGGGCTGGGGATTTAGCTCAGTGATTCCGCCATCTGCCTTGTAAGCAACAAGGACCCGAGTTCGATCCCCCGTTCCCCCCCAAAAAAACAAAAAACAACAAAAAAAATAAAACAAACAAAAAAAAACTTGTTGACAAACTTAAAAGAAAATCATTTAAATGAACCCCTTGTGGATAGTTTAAACTTAGACCATGGATCATGTTATTAGGTTGGCCATTTATATGTAACATAAAGTTTTCTGAACTTATTATTCAATGTACATTTCCTCATGTTGCCAATGAACTAGTATAGATTTGAAATTTATGCTCTAGATTAGATGTGCCCTATAACCATGCAGTTTTTTGGGTGATTTAGATCAGGTTGTATCCCTCTTTCTAAAATAATCATGCAAATGCAACCATAGATAATTAAAGTGAGATTTTATAGTTTAATCCCTATAAAAGACCTTAGACTCATTAAGTATTTAAATCTATGCATAAAATCCTACTCTTTATTTATCATTTTTAATCAAATATTTCCACATGTCATTGAGCCCCATGATACAAAATTATACTAGGGAGACATTTTTTAATATCCTGAAAAATCTATGCTGGTATGAGTAGTGAATTTATAGAGATACACTATTTCTGGCAGGAATGTTTCAAGTGAACCCACTTTTCATACTTAATTTTGTTGAAAGCTAAATTATTTTATAATAATTTTAATGCAAATATTTGCAAGTATACCTTTTCAATAAATTTCACATATAAATTTCTGTGACAAAGTTTTTTCAAGTCTATAAAATTTATAACTTCCTGTAACATTTTTCTGCTTTATATGTGCATTTTACACACTCAGGAATTTCAAGATACAATTACAGAGCTTCAAGGTTACAGAGTTTTCTATAACTATCACAACTGATTGTTTATTCTGCTGAATTAGTGTTTATAGCTTTCTACATTGAAAAACTAGCTATGTAACCTAGGGCAACTAATGTAAGCCTTCCATTCCCATATTCTGCATTTTATGCAGACTTTGTGCAGTTTTTCCACCATAACCCCTGGGGGGACAGGGCCTCAGGAGAGGTGCTGGCTGGCAGGGGGGCAGCTCATGTATCTGTTTCTGACACACGTTAATGCTGGAACTTGAGCCTAGTTTTTCTCCAGGATGTGATCACAAACTTTAGCTGCACTATTTTCTTTATGTCATTGAGAAAATATTCATTATAACTAGTACATTTTATTATAGCTACTAGAAGGAACTTTTTTAGACATAATAAAAATAGTGGAAGACAGTAAGAAGGGAGTTATGATGCACCCAAAGAAAGCTGGGAAGAAAATATTAAACGTAGCAACATGGCAGTAAGTGCGACCATTTAGTGTATTTTTTTCTTTCTCTTCTTCCCAGTGAGCTCTCATTCTCCTGGGTATGCTGCATTAAGGAACAGGATTTTTGAAAGCAGCATTTGACTTCATGTACATATTCACAGGGTAGGGACATCAGAACGACTGTATCAGGTGGCAGAGCTACAGAAACCAAGCTTGGAGAAGTCAGGGAACTTCATCCCCCTCTTTCTGTACTCCAG